TTTTTTCATTGCATTTCTTGGGGAAAGTCAACCGGTCACTTAGTGACCCAATACCTTACTCCGTAGAGTGATGTAAGCAATTATTCTGAACTCAGATTGTTGTGTGTTAATGGGTAATGTATGTAGGGAAAATTGTAAATTCTGTAGTGCTAGCACAAAAATAAGATTAAAAGCTAATCTGTTATAATAACTAAAGAGGACTACTGAGAGAATGGAAGATGCTGCTGGTACTATATTCCCACATCCACTTGTCCCCTTCATGCAATACTGGGAATTATAACAATCACTCATATACCCACCTCACAAATACTTATTGAGCACTTATTATGTGTAGGCACTGTGATGATCTCAATATATTCCTATGCCTTCCATCAGATATATATTTTTTAGCAATGACAGAAAACTCAAGTTGTATTCTCATTTAGATTTGTACAACTTTTGAAATTCAACACTTCATTTTATATATATATATATATATATATATATATATATTTTTTTTNGGAACCGGTCTCCACATGGGATCTGAACCCTCGGCGGGAGCGCCGCCACGCTCCCAGGCGGTGCACTCTCCAGTGCGCCACCGGGCAGCCCCAACACTTCATTATATTGATATAAAGGATTTAAAGTAAGAAAATTAAACAAACTGGAATTTTTGGGAAATTTTTCCCCACTTGAATTTGAAAAATTAATCCTTTGTTTACAAATCATCATTGGGTACTGTTTAAAGCAAATCCATTAGAATGAGATATAACATATTTGGGGAAAACAACAAACTTCTAAGAAACACAGCTATGCTTTAAAATAATGTTATGTAATATAGAATCTTCCTTTAATTCATATCAGCCTTTACTAATTAGCCAGCATGATTTTTACTATATCAATTTGTTTGTTGGGGATTTTAAAAATGAAGTCCTTGAATAAGAAAATACAAAACTCCCATGGAGACTTGTGTGAGGTAAGGGTGGGAAAACATCCAGAGAAATAACTTATGATAAGGGAACCCAATCTATGATGACACTAAGAAAGAGAGAAGCAAGGATCCTGTGCTTTAAGATACTTAATTTTTTGTTTGTTTGTTTGTCTTTTTCCGTGTCCGGCATTGGATCGCAACCCTCAGTGTTGCCCCCGCACCGGACCGGGACCGGCAACGGCATCGCACCCCTCGGCGCTGCGCCTGCCCCTCGCTCAGCCAGTGAGCGGGAACTGGTCT